TGAAAAGTCGAAAATGTTGAAGTTGACCTTTATTATTTTTAATTCAAAAAATAAAGTCGAACCTTTTTTATTTCCATGGTGCTTTATTTCTTTATTTCATTATCGTTACATCTCTTCCTTTTTGTGTTTTGATTGACACGTTCCAAAAATTATATTTCACAGAAAACGAGCCTAAAACGAGAAACGCATGGACCTGCTGTCTCACGAGTCAGATGATTTTTATCAGGAGATGTCAACTCCTTTCAAATAAAAGTTTTGTCGTGATTCCTTTATCCTGAGTATTTTTTTCCCTCCAGTCTATATGCCAACACCCAGCTGCTAACTTCCCACTGGCCAGGCAGACAAGTGGAACAAAAGGCCCTAAAAAATATGGTGCACAGATAAGATTACTTATAAACCAGCTAATTGTCACACATAAATTGATTAGGTCGCAGTTGATCATTCATCAGAAAACTTCAGAAAGTCTGATCATCAGTTCCTGTTAGGGCAGCACAACCCCCCAGCACATGCACAGGTGTTGAGAGTTGAGACTTGAGTATCCTGCAGTACCACTAAAGTGTGCATGCCTGCTAAGAACAGAAACCTCACTCATTGAGAATCGGTGAGAAATTAAACAACAGCAAGAAAGTAGAGAAAAAAAAATGTTATCTCTTCAGGATAGTGGGGATCAGAATTGACTGCAATGACATCTATGCTTCTGCAAGCCTGCAATCTGCATGGAACAAGTGGTTGGCCAAGAACATGGCATTTGTCCATCTGATTCTCTGAATCGGGACCTAAGAATATAAGCTACTAAAAGCTAAGGTCAACTCAGGAGTGTTCCTGAGTGGAGCTGAGGATTAGACAACCGGAATTCCTAATGCCATGTGATTATGTGAAACATGACACCAAGCAACTAAAGGGCATATTTGAGGAGTACTAGCAAGCTGAAAGTTACAATTCATCACACCTACACATCAGCATTATATTCCTTTTTTCTTCAGATAAGAGTGAGAAAATATTCTTTCTTGGGGTTCTTCTTGGAGGACAAAACAAGTCCTGCAAACATGGGCAGAGCTATGTTTAAATTAGTGGGTGCGGACGCACCCACAAAAAATTAAAAAAATAGTGTTAAGAGCTAATTTTTCACCGTATATGCACCCACATATTGTAAACTCTTGCACCCACAAAGGTAAGTGCACCCCTTCGGATTTACTCTAACTCCGCCACTGCCTACAAATGCTATCAAAAGTAAAATCAGATGGCAAAGCATTTGTGCTTGCATTGTTTAACTGAGATTGGTAAGTATGAAATGCCTATCTAGGGTATCTGATATTACGTTCAATGAAGAGAATAACCGCATCGTTTATTTGTTCGTCTAGGTCTAGTCGACTAGTCCCACGGCAGTAGTAGCATATACCACGAAGTATGCTTTTAGTTTCTCTTTGGCCGTTCTAAACCCCAAATTCCAACATCTTTCTTCAGTTTATTCATCATTATCAGTTTTCTTTGACAAAAAAAATTCTATGGTATATTTATTTACACGTTATGTTTTGCACTGACAAACATGGAAACATAGGCTAACTTTCATTATGTTGTAAGGACATGGCCAGGAATCAGTGTGTTAATGGAGGCTCCTTTTAAAAGTTCCACATTAGTTCTCACGAAAGATGCTAAGATAAAATATAAATATAGAAATCATCGATATTGGCTATTAGATTTATTCCATTTTTTAAACCCACATATGTCATTATAAAAAGAATACTCTAAAATAGCCTCCTAAATGCACATCAAAATTATCCATTAGTAACATCTTGATCTTCATCTAAATTACCCACACATGCTATTATGAAAAATAATATAAAGGAACCCTCTAAATTTAGACTTCAACACCACCATTGCTAAAAAACAATATAAAGTAAACCACATGTGCTGTTGTAATAAGCATCGTTAGATTGATAATGGAGTACACACTTTCATAATAAATTTAGAGATACACATATTATATTATTTTTTAGAATACTTAGGGTGTGTTTGGTTGAGCTGTGGCTGTGGGAAAAAGCTGTTGTGGGCTGTGAGCTGTGGGTATGGATGAAAACGGTACGGATATTTATTCGACCGTCCATTCGACCGAACAAATATGAACACTTATCTGGATAGTTACTCGGATGTCCGTAATTTTTTTCGGATACGGATACTAAAACGGATATCTTAGGCAGATATCAAATACGGATATAATATCATCGATATCCGGCGGATATCGGATAATCCGGTTAAGTATCGGATATATCCGGATATTTAAAAACAGATATTATCTGGATATTATTCAAACGACCTTGGATGGAGAAATGATCAAAATAAAAATTGTAGATCTCAAAAAGTTATGAAACTTTGTTGTTTACAACTTTTTTGTTTGAAATCATTTAGTGCTTCAAAATTTAAACCGTCCAAACTTTCTCAAATGGAAAACTAGTTTATAGGCGTCAAAATTTAAAAATCATAAATTTGAACCATCCAAACTATCTCAAATGGAAAGTTGACCAAAACAACAATTGTAGATCTTGATGAGATGAACAAACTTGGTATTCAAAACTTTTCAATTTGAAGTCATTTAGAGTTCATAATACTAGAGTCAAAGTGTTGTTTTTTCATTTGACCAAATTTGACTTGGTCAAACTTGCTCAAATGAGATACTAAATGACGTCTCAGCAAGATCTACAATTGTTACATAGCCCATTTTCCTATTTGAGAAAGTTTTATCAAACACTAGTCACAAATTCTTAAATCTCATACAGACTTTCTAAAACTATGTCACACACTTGTGAAATTTGAACTACATTTTGTTCAAACTTTCTCAAATAAAAAAAATAGCCTATATAAGGATTGTAGATCTTGAATTCATGACCATGACTCCATGAGACCCATGAAGCCATGAGCTTGGCTATTTCTACTCATGCCGCAAAGATTGGTGCTTGTATGATGTATCTGTATCTTTATCTTATTTGTTGCTTTACTCTTTAGTCTTTCGGTTTAATCTAGATGGATTATGGACTCATAGAGTGGTGTAATGGTTTGCGCACGTATGATATATATATATATATATATATATATATATATATATATATATATATATATATATATATATATATATATATGCTGTTTTTACTCAATATCCGAATAGATATTTGTATCCGACCTTCTCCGAATCCGATTCATACCGTATTCGATACTCATTATTCGTATCCGTAACCGAGTCAATCCGTATTCGTATATGTATCCGAACGCTATCCGTGTCCGAATCTGAATCCGAACAGAAATATGAAAACAAATATAATATGAGTGATATCCGTTCGTATCCGATCCGTTTTCATCCCTAGCTGTGGAAAAGCTGCTGTGGCCTGTGAGCTATAGAAAAGCTGAAAGCTGTTTGGTTAAACAAGTATAAAATATACCTTCTATCTTTATCTCTCTTGAAACAACTATGTAAGAGCTTTTTATTCTACCAATTTCAAAAAGTAGAAAGCCAAAAGCTAAAAGCAGGATCAAACCAGCTTTCAAAAATAAACTACGGAAAAGCAGCTGCTTCTAAAAAACAGCCTCCAAAAGCAGCCCATTTGGTTGGGCTTTTGGCTTTTGGAGCCAAAAGCCTAACCAAACGGACCCTTAGTTAAATTTGAAAATATTTGACTTCTCGAGAAGCGCGATATACACTTATTTTGGGAGGAGGGAGCAGATGGATAGCGGCACCGAAGCGGAACTGGAAGAGAGAACAACATGTTGCTTCTGTCACGTCATCTTAAGTTGACTTCCTAGCATTATTCAATCTTTGTTCTGCCAAACTGCATGCACGGTTGAAAAGGCACAAGATTACAAGAACAGGACGAGAATTAGAGGGGCGAAAAGGAAAAGAAAAACACAAGTTGCATCAGTTCGCTGCTGGAAATAGGACCAGCAAATACATCGGCTACGTACCAGTTACCACAAATTGCCATGCATGTCGCATGATTCCTTCACACCCTCAAATAATACTTGTATCACTGCGACTGAATCAATAGCTGGTTTATACGTACGTGTCGCCCTGTCATGACGCTGACATATATAACTGTGTTTAGTAAGCTCGCTAACTTGTTAAGGTACATCAGAATTCAGTGCGTGGTGTACCATTACCACCAGAGCCATTTCTTAATTAGTCTTTTAGTTTTCCAAAGGGTGCTTTTAATTTTGTGTGGAGCATGAGCATGAGTTTGACGTAGTTAATTGATCTTTGTCATAGCACATGACCTCATATAAATCATACGAAAATTTGAATCCCAATCAAAGTTTCCAAGGATTTTATTAAACTATTTTCTGCAAAATTTATAAATTCAGCCAGCTGAAAATGCTTATTATAAAATACTAATGTATAGAAGAAGACGAATATGCCTTAATCCTCCATTCAGGAGACAACAAATTAAACCACCTTATCACCAAATAAAAGGGCATTTCGGTCATTAGAGACCCGCACCCTGCGAATGCCCTCCTATAAATTCCACCCCTCTTCAAAGCTTCAGAGTTTACCGGTTAACCCACACAAATTGCCGCTACCGTACCAGCCCACCACCGCACACGACATCCTACAACCCCAGCCTCATTCCACTGGCCCGCATCTCAGATCACTGGACGGCACCACCGGCCGGCCAGCTTCTCCGGCCACCGTGCACCGCGCAAAACTTGCACTGACGAAACCTACCTTCTCATCCGGCGGCGGGGCCATGGGGTTCTCGCTGTACCCCACCAAGTCGTCGACGCGCATGACGTGGAGCACCAGCTTCTTCCGCCACAAGTTCCCCGCCGCCGCCGCGGCCTCCTTCTGATCAGGCTAGCTCCGGCCGCCCGGCGACCTCCGTGCCGTGCTTCAAGAAGAGGTGGAGGAGCATACATACAGACGTTCAGTACATACATACACGTACGTGAGTGTGCGCGTACAATCGACAGTTTTTTTCTTTTTTCTTTTTTTTTTGGTTCGTGTTAGTCCTTGGCGCATGGACTACGCGCGTAGCATGATCAGCAGCTCCGCCGTGCCATTCCGTGCTGCCGGCGATGGCGGAGGACAGGTGTTTCTCTTTGGCGGCGGCGGATTCCTTCGAGGTCAGTGATCGGGATGGATATCTGATCGAAGCGCTACTTATTTCTTGGAATGCGTTGCTCATGTCCTCTCCTCATATGCAGGATTGCCGTTGGTGGGTGGCGCCAGCGCTGATGCCGGTGCGGCGGACGGCCGGAGCAAGCGGCCGTTCCAGCTGACGGCGGCGCATGAGGAGCTGCAGCTGCAGCTCCAGCTGGAGCTGGGCGACGACGAGCTGTGCGGCCTCGACTACGACCTCCACGGGCCGCAGCAGCAGGAGCGCACGAAGCGGCGGCTGACGGCGGAGCAGGTGCGGGACCTGGAGCTGAGCTTCGAGGAGGAGAAGCGGAAGCTGGAGCCCGAGCGGAAGAGCGAGCTGGCGCGAAGGCTCGGGATCGCGCCGCGCCAGGTGGCCGTGTGGTTCCAGAACCGCCGCGCGCGCTGGAGGACCAAGCAGCTGGAGCAGGACTTCGACCGCCTCAGGGCCGCGCACGACGCCCTCCTCGCCGGCCGCGACGACCTCCTCGCCGATAACGATCGCCTCCGCTCACAGGTGAAGATAATCCTACACATCCTATAATTCGTAAAGGTTGGTTAAATATGGTAATCGAATTGGTAGATTTATTTATTTGAAAAGGAAATTGACTAGATGTGTATGCATCTAGCATCTTTAGAGATGCTTTCCTAAAGAGTATGAACTTCGGGCGTTCCTAAACTTGCCACGCCGCAAGCATATTCTCCTACTAGTGATGTAGTACAGCCGTGTAGGCTAGGCCTACCATCTATGTTGGGCCCCCCATCTTTCATATGGGTGAGCCGACCACTCACCAGCGTTGCCGACCATACACTATTATTGTCGAGCACATACTATGGCTAGAGGTAAAACAAGGGAGGGAGAACAGAGCACACACAGTATAAGTACCAGCGGTGGCCGGAGCTCTGCAGAGGAGATGGCAAAACTGAACTCGCTCTCTTTACTGAGTTGCAGCGGCAAACTATATATACAACTCTACCCATCTAATCCTAGTACACAGACATGTCGGACCGCCATGCTACTACAAAGTGACTAGATGTGTGCAAGAGGGCTGACTTTGGCGCATGCCCTCGCTTGTGGCTACATTGCCACAAAGATGGAGCCTTTTCGACGTCAGATTCTCTCGTATGCGTTTACATACCCGGAAACAGCAGATTACTTAACAATTATTCCCCTAATCCTGCTGCTAACCGTAGAACTCCCTCCATGTCGATCATCTTCTTCAGCTCCGTGAGTCGAAGACGGTAGAGCGGCTTGGAGAGGACGTCCGCGAGTTGCCGACTAGTTTCGACGAACTCGATGACGATCTGTCCTCCATCGACACAGTCCCTGGGGAAGTGGAACTTGACGTCGATGTGCTTGCTCCGGTAATAAAGAACCGGATTCTTCGCGATGGCAATGACAGGCTGGTTGTCCACCATCAGTGTTGGTGGGTGAACTTCCATACCGGTCAGCTCGTCCAGCAGCCAGCGCAGCCACACAACTTGGCACGCCGCTATGACCGCCGCCATGTACTCTGCCTCACACGTCGACAGCGCCACCACCTTCGCGTTTCAGCGACAGACGTAAGATTGAGTGACCCAGAAAAAACGAGCAGGCCGTAGGTGCTTCGCCATCCGTCGATGTCCGCCGCTATGTCTCGCATCGGCTGAACACGATGAGTTGCAGCCTACTTCCGCGGTCTTGGGGAAGACGATTCCCTAATTCAC